CCCTAATAATTTATAATTTCCTATCAAACTCTTCAGCTTTCAGATTGCTTTGGTTCGGGAATCTCCAGGGGGAAGTTTCTAACAAAGTTACAGGAGAAATTATATGCTGAGTCATGCCTTCAGTGGCAGCAGAAGCTGTAATTAGTGCTGCAGATCAGCTCTGCTAATTAGATTTTACATTCTGGGGTAACAGGAGTTCAAATGAAAAGATGGAAGAATCAGTTTGAGCTTATTTCTACTGAAATCTCAAGTTTTTGCACTTTTTCATCATCTTTACATCTTGTAGTTGCTCTTCTGTTTGTGTAGATTTTTTAAAAATTGCTTATTCATTGCTTCATTTGTGCTTCCTGAAGGGCTGTCCATTCGAAGTGTCTGCTGGCGAGCCGACAGGATTCTAGCAGGAACTCAGGACAGTGAGATCTTTGAGGTAAAGAAGAAAAACAAAAACTGGACTTCATGCTGTATGCCAAACGTTTTAGAAGAGTTTTATTCTAGTTTGTAGAACAGTACAGCTGCTATTATTAAATAAATGGTTATACAAGATGCATTTTAATGGTAGTTTTATAACTGTATAATAACTGGGTTGAACAATCTGCTTTCAGCGGACACATATTCAGCTCTATTCAGCCATAAAAACATGGTGTAAATACTATGTTTCATTTTCAGTTTTACATTATATTTATGTTACATTCAACTGTTTGCTTTTAAATAAATTCAGATGTGTTGGTGTGTTTGCAGGTGATGGTTCGGGATCGGGACAAACCTCTTCTGATCATGCAGGGACACAGCGAGGGCGAGCTCTGGGCGCTGGACGTTCATCCCAAAAAGTCTCTTGCTGTCACTGGCAGCGACGACCGCTCTGTCCGGTGCGTGCAGGAACGCACACATGCCAGTCTATTTTAGAATCCATTTAACAATTATTTTATCTATTTCTTAATATTAAAATGATCTTGCTCCTCCTTATCAATCTGAGCTGCCACACCCCCAAACACCTGCCTGTTCTCTCAGGTCTGCTTCAGTCAGGGTCAATATTGTGGAATGAATTGCCTTTGCAAATTAGAAAGCATCTTCCTCAGCTGCTATTCTTTGACCTGTGTGCATTTTTAGATGTTGATTTTTTTATTGCATTTTTCCCGTTTTTACGTTTGAAATAAATAAATCATTTAAAAAAATTTTTTAATTGCACCACACATAATGCAGGCAGACTCGAGAAATAAGGAAAACTTATATTTTTTATTAATAATAAAATTAAAAACCCGGCGAGTCGGCACCGTTTGGGGCGTGGAGTGTTAATCTACAGGTGAAACACGGGGAAAAGGACAAGAAACCAGAGCCAGAAAAAACAGGTAAGAGGGGGCTGATGAGATAGTGGAGGCAGCTGGGCTGATTGGAAGTGACAACAGGTGTGAATGACGAGAGAAAAACATTAGGAAATGGCACAGAGAACATTAACAGCACACAGAAACAAGGATTCTAAAGCATTAGCCTCTTTGCCACAGTCTCAGCTCACACCATAAGCTATGTTCACACTGAACGCGTTTTGAGCTGCAGGAGCGGCCAGTTTACATGCAAAGTCTATGGTGGACGCGCCTCTAGGGGTCTTGCGGCGCGTCTAGGCCGTTTAGCGTGGTGCCGTGTGAAGTGGTAGGTGTGGTTGAGTGTTTTCCGTGCATTTGGCGCATCTAAAGCAGCCGACGCTCGAGTTTAAAAATCTGAACTTTTGCTGCTCGACGCGCGGCGTCAACCAATCAGAGAGACTCATTTTTCCACGTGACAGTTTCCTGAATGTTGTCCACTAACCTGAAACAGACAGACAGGAGCTTTTTAGCTGAAATGGACTGTCTGCAGTTGATGTTCTGGCAGGAAATTTCAGCACAGATGTGGGTCAGCAGCTCATTAAACTGACTGCAGTGTTAAACTGGGCATGGGACAAAAATAGTTTGTTAGTTCACAGCTCCTGGAGTGGTGAAACTAAGCAAACAAACCGCCTCTAAATCATCTGGTGAATTAATTATCTGGTGTGCGTGATGTTTGCTTGCACTTTAGTAAATAAAGAAAAGCCATTTTCTTTATTTTATCTTTATTTCATCCGTCATTAAAGACAGACTGGAAAAAACAAGACGCTACTCCCATTCAGACGCGCGTCTAGCCTCTGTCCCGGTCTGAACGTAACACGTCCAACTTGAGGTACTGGGCACATTTTAGATGCTCAAAATGCGTTCGGTGTGAACGTAACATAGGGTCTTGCCACTGTTGGCTCTCATCCCTCATCCCAGTTTGTGGGACCACCACTGAGGTGGTATCGAAGGACTGGCACCATTTGGGGTGTTGGGTGCTGATCTACAGGTGAGCATGCAGCAGCTGTTGATTGGCCAGTGGAGCTATATGAACTTCCCTGGATGATCTGCCCAGCAGGAGCTGCAGAACTCCCATTGCGGTGGCTGTGGTGGAGTGGTTAGTGGAGTCGTCCTGTAACCGGAAGTTTGCTGGTTCGATCCCCTGTTCCATCCGTCTCAGTCGTTGTGTCCTTGGACAAGACACTTCACCTGTTGCCTAGTGATGGTGGTCAGAGGGTCTGGTGGCACCAGTGCATAGCAGCCCTGCCTCAGTCAGTGTTCCCAGGGCAGCTGTGGCTACAGTGTAGCTTACCACCATCAGTGTGTGCATGGGTGAATGTCTGTAAGTGAAAAGCGCTTTGGGGTCTTGTTAAGTGTTTTTCCAAGTGTTTTGAGTGTTGGTGTGTTTCAAATTTACTTCAGTGGAGGCTCCAAAAGTTGTTCCATGCTCTAATGATGAGGACCTTTTCAAATTTATTGGCAGACGTGTGCATTCAGTGCCAGCTGAAAACAAGAGGATTTGATTGTTTTGTTAAATCAATGGACAGTGATTAGTTATAGCATCGTATGAGTAATGATAAACAGCAGTTTGAGTGCATCCATGTTAATTATCAATTGTCACAGAAAAAAAAACATCGGAGCGTTGTACACTGAAACATGTAAGTATACCACCCACCACATTTGAAAGACTTTACCGCTTACTTACTTAGATGACTCCACACAGAGTGAGGAAACAGGTTAGTGGTAGATTTCACCTGATAAAAACAAAGTGCAGCTAATGGCAAAGCAGCTTTTGTTTCTTTGAGGAGTTTTAAAGGGCTTTATACATAAATTGGATTGAAAAGTAATGACCCTGTTTGCTTCACAATTTTCTTTTTGTCCCCTTCAGTGGACAACAGAGGTCCTCAGACATCAACTCACCCCATCCTCCAGCTGAAGTCTGACACCACTAAAGTTCCCCTTTGCAACTCTTGGATTTTTTTTTAGTGTGAATCAAAGGCACTTAACAGGTCTCAAATTAAAAAAATACATAAAAAAACTTTTTCAATTAACATATTAAAAAATATTGAATAAGTTTTTGTTTTTGTAATGAAGGCCAGTTTATACTGACCATTATAGATTTGTGGCAGCAATAAGAGCATAAATCATCCAGGGGGATAAATATTGTTTTAGACACTGTATCCTTGATCCAGAAGGAAAAGGTCTGGTCGCAATTCTCCACAAGAAGACAATACAGTAGCACCAAATCTAAAAGGTTTTTATCTTCTGTGTGTCAGGTTGTGGAGTCTTGTCGATCACGCCCTCATTGCTCGCTGCAACATGGAGGAGGCGGTGCGCAGCGTGGCGTTCAGCATGGACGGATCTCAACTGGCTCTGGGCATGAAGGACGGATCCTTTACTGTTCTGAGAGTCAGGTGACCCAAAGATCCAATCACTATCATGATCAATAAAGCTGTTTTAGTGAGACTAAATGGAAGTGTATCCCTTCAGAGACATGACAGAGGTGGTTCACATCAAGGACAGGAAGGAGGTGATCCATGAGATGAAGTTTTCTCCAGATGGAGTGTACCTCGCCGTGGGTTCTAATGATGGACTCGTGGACGTCTATGCTGTGGCACAGAGATACAAGAAGGTCAGGAGGGTGCAGTCACATGAACTGATGTTTAATAATGTAACAGTTTAAACTGTTTTATTCCAGGTAGGAGAATGCAGTAAGTCCTCCAGTTTTATCACACACCTGGACTGGTCTCTGGACAGTAAAATCCTGCAGACCAATGATGGAGCTGGAGAACGACACTTCTACCGCATGCCCAGTGAGTCTTTGCATTCAGGTTTTACACTAAAACATATAAGCAATTTGTTTAGCAGCCTTTGTCATGGTTTTGTAGTGAGTCGACCCAAATCGCAGACAGAAGACCTCTTGATTCTCAAAACAGCTAACTTTTATTCTTGAACCAGAATGCTGTAGAGGCAGCAAACTTTACAAACAGAACTTCTGGACACGAGCACCGCGCCAACAAAAACAGTCTACAATGCTGAACTAAAGATCACGCAAACTAAAAAGGAATTTAAAGACAGCGTAGTGAACCCAAAATAAACACCTGTTAGGAGGAAACCAGGATCAGGTGTGGTGGGCGTGGCCAAACAAAAGAGCATGAACACAGACTGATCAGACACATACCAAAAACTAAAAAAGTACATACTCCTAACACCTACATGAACAAAGCTTTGTAACAATGCAAAAATCACCCATTTAAAAATAAGTTTTAAAAATACGAGATTATAGATTATAATTTTCTTAAACTAAGTGAACTAATCTGCCAGTGCAGTCAGACAGCTGAACTTGGTAACTTATTGTAACAAGGAAAATTTTCAGGCTAACACACAGAGAGATGCAGACCGTGATAAAAAAAAACACATTTTGTTTGGATTGGATTGTAAATGGTAAATGGACTGAACTTGTATAGCACTCTATCAAGCCCCATCGAACCCCAAAGCACTTTAAACTACAACCATTCACACACTGATGGTGGTAAGCTGCACTGTAGCCACAGCTGCCCTGGAGCACACTGACAGAGGCGGGGCTGCCATGCACCGGCGCCACCGGATCCTCTGACCACCATCAGTAGGCAAGGCGGGTGAAGTGTCTTGCCCATGGACATGAGGGGTGATTGATAAGACTTGATCAGATGTATATTTTTGCAGTGAGAGTACTGAGCTTGGTGTACTTTTGATGGGATTGTGGCCTACATGTGAGGTTAGCGTGGTGAGTCCAGCTTTGGGTTCTCATTGACCAAATTGGGTTTAAATCTGATACAATATTATTAGAGCTAATCTATAGTGATGCAAATCTGCACAGAATAGTTTTCTTACATGAAGTCAGATATCTTCTTTATACAAAGCTAGTTGGGGAACCAGACAGTACAAGTTTGAAACAAAAATAATCTAATGTTTAGAAAGGACTGGGTTATACCAGTTTTAAATAAAATCCTAAAATATTTGTTTTCCTCCAGTGCATCCTGACTGGAAAAGTACCATTAGCAAACAGCTTTGCATGTCATTACCAGGTGCTGGTGTCAGGTGGTAGAAAAGATGGTTGTGATAATCCCATTTTTTAAGATGTCAGAGTGAAGGCTGATGCTTCATTTTTAATTTTTAAACATGTAAATATAAACAAGAGTCATGAGCTTTATGGTGAATAAAGTCCTACTTGTCATTTATTCAACCACTTGTGACAGATTAAGATAATTTTTTCATACTAATGGCTGCTCTAATCAGAAAATATTAATTTTTACCTGCTTTGTTCACTCCTTCAGTGGGGAAACCCATCCTCAACAAGGAGGAGCTCAAAGGTCAGCGATGGGCCACCTGGAGCAGCGTTCTGGGCTCAGAGGTCAGTGGTATCTGGCCCAAATACTCCGACTCAACACAGATCAACGCTGTGGATGCCAACCACGCAGCAGGAGTGCTCGTCACTGGAGACGACTTCGGCATTGTTCGGCTCTACCGCTTCCCCTGCCTCAGAAAAGGTTCGTACTTCTCCTGCTGATTGAGTTCTGTTTCATTAATTTTTTTAAATGTTTTGTTTTCCACTCAGGAGCCAAGTTCAAGAAGTACGTTGGTCACTCGGCTCATGTGACTAACGCCCGGTGGTCACATGACCTGCAGCTGGTGCTGACCACAGGTGGAGCCGACCACGCCCTCTTCCAGTGGAGGTTTTTATCTGACGACATCATGAACGGCGGTCTGGACGTCAATGTAGAAGGTGGAATTGTTTTTCAAAATAAGGGTTTTCTTCAAGGCTCTGAGGTTGCAATGGCTTTTCACCTTTTGTGGTGTGTAATAAATATACCACACTTTTTATGAAGCAAAATATTATCATTGGTCTTTGGGAACTATGATAAACAATATTCTGGTGAAGAATATTATTTTAATCAACAAAATAAGCCAGTTGGTAGATTTTTCTGCAAATACTGGTCACTTTGTACTTCTGATGTGATTTTCCCCCAACTTGCACAAAGTGATTTTCTTTTGCACCAGTGTTCGTACTTTATGCACATTCAGTACCAGCTCCATGCATTTATATAGATTACATCAAACACATCATCAAGTCTTAGCATTCCTTGAAAGAATGCTCTTCAGCCATCGTTTAAAACTAAAACCATCTTATGTTGAAAGACAGAATGATTTTAGTCATTCTGGTCAAATAGTTAGCATCTTATAAAACAAAATGTGCTTCCTAATGTAAAAACTCAGATGATCTGTTAGCACCTGGTGTGTTGGAGATGACTTTCAGCTACTACCACAATCAATTTTAGCTCAATATCTGTTCACTTTGCAGTCTTTTTTCATTATCAGTTAGCTGTGGCAGCCATGTAGTTTCTTTTAATTCTGAAAATATTATATTTGTTGTTTTGTCTCTGTTAGTGAAATATGTGTCAGCAGTGAGAGTCAGCCACAACACATATTCTAAGCCATAGATGTCAAACTCCTCCTGTCCTGTCCTGAATGTTTTCCTTGTTTCTCTGCTCGAGCACACCTGATTCAGTGACTGAATCTCTTAGAAGCTGTTCATACAAATCAGGTGTGTTGGAGCAGAGAAACAAGGAAAACATGCAGGATAGCGACCCTCGAGGATTGGATAAAATCTGTGTTTAAAGGTTTGGCATTTGAGGCAGCAGGTGATGTGCTGTCCTTATAAGGATATTAATTATTACAGAGACTCTTATGGACTATTTAGAGATTTGAGTTGGTTTAGAAAACATCTGGAACTGCAGCCCTGAATGTCCAGACCTAACTACAGGTGTTACAGGTAATGAAAATACAAAGCTGCCAGTTTAAGTATAAAGAGACCTGTGGCTTCTTCATACCTTGCAGGCACATGGTAACCAAAAAGCTGACCAAATGTTAATCAGATCAAAAAAGTTTGAATTTTCTGTTTGTAGTGTACTGTTTTAAACAACCATGTTATTGATGGTTAGATAATTGATGTATTGTGATATTATTGGTAATGCATTCTTTCTTTTTTAATGAAAGTTTCTCTCCTCTTCAGGGAGTCTCGGAGACTCGAACAGTGAAGAATCCGACAGCGACGTGTCTGACGTCCCAGAGCTCGACTCCGACATCGAGCAGGAAACACAGATCAACTACGACAGACAGGTAACCACTTGTTTCCATGGTGATCCAAAGTTCAGCTAAATCCTCAGCAGCTCAGGGACCAAATAAAATTTTTTTTTAACTGCATGGAGTATCCTCGTTCTTATTCCAAAAGCCCGCAGGTCTCTGCCTTGTTCCCATGGTGATCATGAAACACGCCTTATCACCAGTCGCCAGACGCTGCCTGGCGTGCTGCCCTGCTGCTGCCGTTGTGACAAAATGTTGTTTGTAGAATGAGCTCAAAGTACAAACTGGCTCAGATTTAATTAGAAACAGACAGAAAGCACAGATGGCTATTAATTTATAAGCCTGCTTATCTTTTCTTTATTTACACCTCACTTTTATGATTTATTCTTTCCTCTTTTCTGATTTATTCCCTCTATTCCATCTGTTTCCCTAAAGTCTGGACAGTTTCAACTATTTCATGGCCTCAACGTGTAAAATCATGCATTAAACAATGAAAATATTTTGAATCTGGTGCTCAAACGATTCCTTAAATAGATAATGTTATAATCAGCTCTTTTTTAAGTTTGTGTTATACAACGCTACATTAGTGCTTTCCTGTCAAACTGCAGATGTTTTATCTTCAACCTCAGTCGTGGACTCTTCTATGGAGTGCCATTTGTAAAGTTACACAGTCGGAAATTAACAGCGATATTTTGCTTAATTTAGCCTTTCATAAGAAAAAAAAATAAACAGATTTTCACCATATTCATATATTTATAAATGTCATAGTTACAAGTTAAATATTTAGCTTTCTGTCTAAAAATTAAGTTGCAAATTTATGGAGCCTGTGAGGGGACATGGGAGTTTTTTTTCTTTTGCATTCCCACGCAAAAGTTGTTTATCACTGTTGTGCCTGCCAGTTTATTAACACATTCACATGTTCACCATTAGCGAGTCAGCTTCAGAATGAATATATCACACAGCCATGAATGGAAGTATGTAATATGCCAATACTTTAACACAGTACAGCCACGCAACATCAATGTCAATTTCACGAACTGTGGCGACACATCCTGTTTTGGTAACCCGATATTTCAAAATAAAAATCTGATTTAATAAAGTTCATAGACAAAACAAACTTTTGCGTGGGAATGCAAAACAATTTTGCGAGGTAACGCAAAAGTATTGCGTGGGAACGCAAAAGAAAAAAATCCCCCCATGTCCCCTCGCGGGCTCCGTACATATTAAATGTTTAACTTGCTAAATATTTAAGATGCAAGTCAAATATTTAACTTGCAAGTTAAATATTTAGCTTGCTAACTAATTATTTAAGTTGCAATTTAAATATTTAACTTGCTGTCTAAATATTTAAGTTAGAAATCAAATATTTAACTTGCTAATTAAATATTTAAGTTGAAAATGCTTGCTAACTAAATATTTAAGTTGCAAGTTAAGTATTTAATTTAAAACTGTGACATTTATAAATGTATGAAGAGCATGGTGAAAATATGACTTTGAAAAATAAACCACTTTTCTTCTTAGGCTAAATGAAGCAAAAATACTGCTGGTAATTTTTGACTGTATAACTTTACAAACGGCACCCCACACTCTTCTGCTTCCACGTTTGTCTTTAACCAAATCAGGAGATGCTGCTGCTCCCTTTCCCTCCCCCTCCCACTTTYCTSTATCTAGAAGTCAGGTGAAGAGGCAGCTAGAGAGACTGAACCAGAACAAGGCTGCAGGTCCAGATGGTGTCAGCCCCAGAGTCCTGAAGGCCTGTGCAGACC